CATCCACGTCCCTCACTCAATATAGAGGGTCACAAAAAGCTGGACAGTCCAGAACCGCCTCCTAGTCTTGTTAGCGAAAGAGTTGCCATTTGCTCAGCACACACACACTCCACTCCTACTGCCACTTCCTGTAGAGATTCACACTGGATTTCATTCCAGAGTACAGTGTCAAGGCGCCTGGGTGTCAGCTAAGATCCTTTCCCGGCTCTGCCTAGGGACACCACAGAACGAACCTCACACCTTAACCTCACACCTTCGGGTGCGCAAAGCCTATGATCTCCTGTCACCAAGACTTTGCCCTTTTTTCCTGCATCAACCTCTGCTCCTAGAAGTGAAGTAGGACGAGAGAGACATCCACAGGCTGAATGCAGAATGGCAGCCGAGTCAAAACTTGCCATCATTCTGCTGCACAAATCGTTGTTATATGCTGTCAAGTTGCTCTTGACATACGGCAATCCCCTCTACGAGTGACCTCCAAAACGTTCTGTGCTCAATAGCCCTGCTCAGTACTTGAAAACTCAAGCCTGTGGCTTCGTTTTGGGAGTCAATTTATCTCGTATTTGGATTGTAGCCCAGTGTGGAGGTGGTCCAAGAGCTGCCCCACATCACTAACACTTCCCTGTGTGGCCATCGGATGGAGAGAGTTCTACCTCTCACAGATCAGGTCATGTGGCTTTACGAACCTCCCGTACATCATAAGCATTGAGCAGGAGGTTGGTCTCAATGGCCTTTACAGGCACCTTCCAAGTGTAAACTATTCTCTGATTCTGGAACAAATTCCACACACCAGAACTTCTTAAGAAAACAGCAAAGTTCGTCTTTAAGTGAAAATATAAATTTTATTTTTTTAAAACAATAGCTGCCAGCAGTTTGCTGGTATATCTGTAAACGATATTCCAGAAAAGTGAAAAGATAAGCATATTATAATATGTCATATTGAGACTTCAGATCTCTTGATACAAAAACCAAATTAACTGTCCTGCCCATTCTGGGAAATTTGCACCGCTCTCCCCCCCCCCAAATAAAAGGGTCAAGTAGGAATTTTACTGTATCTAAATATTTGTGGTTTCATTACAGGACAGAACAATAAAAGGGTTAAGTAGGAATTTGACTGTATCTAAATAATTGTGGTTTCATTACGGGACAAGATCTTCTTCCATTAGTCACAGCTGATTGGAAGAGAAGTGGTTGTTTTTCTCATAAAGCAGAGATTCTGCACTGTCTTTGCTGCCAAGGAGCATTTTGACTAAAGAAACATTTTATGGGGAAAAAAATCAGACTTTTTCTTGCACATGGGAGGTCTCTAACTTAAGGATTCTACATGGACAGGCTGCTTGTACTGCTCTATAGTGGAAGGTCTAATTATCCTGCCCAGAGGATCTCCCGCATCACCCCCACTGTGTGTTCAGATTTTTCAACATGAATTGGAATCTTCATCCCTGCTTTGAAATATGCCAAGGGCTTAAAGCAGTCAACCTTTGACTCTCCGTGATGCCTTTTCTAGCTGCCAATGTCAATAGCAGCCAGCTGCTAAAGCAGGAGTGTGCCAAAGGCAACCCTCCAGATGTTGGGCTACAACTCCCACCAGCCCTAGATAACAGAGCTTGGGGGCTGAGAGTTGCAACCCAACAACCCCTGGGGTGGGGGCGCTTTGCCCGCCCTTGAATTAAAGGCCTACAAACAAGGGGCCATTGGGCAGCAGCCATAGGTACTACCTAAGAAGCCACCCTCTCTTTGTGGGCTGACCCTATAAAGCATGGCCTATTTGATAAAGAGGCAGAGATTCTATTCACAGAATGCGTCAGAGGTGGGAAAGGTGACATTTCTGCAGCCACCACGCACAAACTCCCTCAAGGACGGGGAACATGTACTCCTCCAGAGATTGGTTGGATGACAACTCCCACTGGCCCTAAGTTGGATATCCAGTGGAAAAGGACGATGGGAGAGTGAGTTTGACAACATCTGGAAGTCCATAACTTCCTCAGAGGTGTCACATACAGTGGTCTGTTTATGGAACAGGTTTCAAATTAAAAATATTCTAACAACTTGGCCCTTCTTGATCATGAATGCTCTGTTTACAACCGCGTTCTTCCTGCCGAACAAAACTAGCTTTACAAATGGGCAGTCTTGTTAGGCACTGTTGTTATGCTTTTTCTGCTTGGTACATTACGTTCTACTCTATTACTCTTCTGTACCTGTTTTCTGAGCATAACATAAATTAATCAAAGGGGAAGGGGAGGTATTCTCTGAAATATAAATGAGGTTCCTTTGATATTCTCTTTTGACCTCACAATGGGTAAAGAGGACAAAAGCGCGCAATGACTCTTTGTCCGTGTTAGGAGGGCACAAACAATAGTCCCAGGGCCAGCTCAGCATTTTGAATGTCTCGGGCAATGGGCAAAGGCTGTTTTTTAAAGAACAGCTAGCAGACACCAGCGAACCTTTGGTACAAATCTGCAGCCCTTCCTACCAATCCCACTTGCCTGGCCAACGGCAAGTTATGATGGGATGGTCAAGAGTTCCTCAGCCCTATTATAGGGGGAGTTCTGGGTAAGCCTCTTTGAAAGGAACACGAACTGAACAAAGTGTACAGGAAATAAAAACGAGCCATATCATTGTTTGTATTTTGTACAGGAAATATTCCAGGTGCTTAGTGTCTAAATAGGCAAATCTATTTGCTTCTGCTCCGAGCAGCTGCCTCTCCGTCTTATGGCACAACCAAGCGTAAAAACATTATGTGCACATAATTTCAAAGACACATATTTTTAGGTCCCAGGACTGGCTCCATGAGAATCCTCAGAATACCTTGTTCTAAGATTAAGCTCCATAGTGACAACTGTAACGAAGACGGAAAGGATCCCCTTTGGAGTAACGAACCCATGATACTGAGTGCAACACGCTTCTTAAGTGTCTTACACTTGTACTGCTGGTTCTCATGAGAGAATCAGAGTTCACGAAGGAAAACCAGCCCTGCTCTTGTGACGTAGGACAACTGAGAACAAAAGGTTCGATCCAGATTTAGTCTTGAGCAAAGCCAAAGGGTCCTCAGCTAATCATGAAGTCCCATTGATTTTCAGGAAGTTGTGCTAAAGCTGGAACCAGCTCAGAATGCTTGAAATTTCATTATCCACGAAAATCTTAAGAATACATTTTGTAAGGTCAGTTTGGAAGTAGCAAGAAGCAATACCACGATCTGGACTGTGAGCCCTTCAGTGCTTTGCCATAGACCAGTTCCCAAGGCACAAACTGTACCCGTGTTGGACCTTCCGTGTACTAGTCTAGTAATGGTCCCACCTGCCGCAATTTGCCATATAAGCACAATCCATCCAGGGGTCTTTCAGTCTTCCAGAAACCCAGTCACTGTATAAACCCATGGATGCTATAAATGTGAGAAGCTAAACGAAGGCCAGCTAATGGCAATTCTTTAGAACTGCCATGACAAAAGGTGGAGACAGTGGGGAATTGAGTGTTTGCCCCCCAGCTCTCTCCTGGTGAAATGAAGAGAAAATGAGACACTGTCTCATCTCTGGCGGCTCTGAAGTCACCCTAAAGCTGATCTACGCCATCCTAATTGGGACAAACATTTGGCTCAGTGACACTCGGGGGACAAATGATCACAGAAAAGATTATTATCAGTTCTTTGTAAAGAAGAATAAGCAGAGCTTGCCCTGTGTTACTTAAAACAGAATTTACAACCAGCTGGCCAGGCTGAATCCTCTCTTTTGACCGATACACTTGAGACATTATCCAATTAAGTACTGTACTTTCAAAGGAAACCTAATTCATAACCTGAACCACTATGGACAACTTTCATATGTCTAATTGGATTTAATAACCAGCCAGGAACATGGGCAACAGGTGGGCATAAGCAGTCACTTATAAATACAGAGGAGGAAGAGATGGGACCATACCCTTTCATTTTTCATATCCCATCCAGTCCTTTGCACTCGTTACCTGACTTTACAACGACTATGCTCAGACAGAACAGTAGATCTGGAAAAATTCTCACTTGAGCGGAGCAACAAACCAGGATTCCTAGCTTGGGGGAAGACACGAAACAAAGGTTTCCTGATTTGTTGAACAGCAATAGAATAAGGAGGATGGAAAGATGCAGGCTGCTGGCCCCAATGCACGGTTCACAATAATTCAGGGTTCTTTTGAGTTTTTTGTTATCACTGCATCCAAAAACAACATGCTCAACTGGACAGGGAGAATTCTGTGCCGCTAAATATTCAACCTGCCATGAGACACAACTGGAAAGTCAACACGGATATTGGCTACCCTCTTCTACCAACATGCTACAGAAACCTAATCTATCATTTTGCTACCTTATTATTAAATGTACACTCCAGCATGGCCAACTGACCCCAAAAGGCAACACGGGCAAAATCAGCAAGAATGTGGAGCAGATTCCAGATGGGTGAAACTAAATTAAGAGGCAAACAGCAAAAACTCTACAAAATGTTTGCCTTTTCAATACTTCCGCCAAAGGTGCAGATTGCTTTAAGCCCATCCTTAGCAACAGCATATGCACCAAATGGATTTTACGAATACTGGAGACGTTAGACCTAGAAATGAGCAAGAAGGCACCACAAAGCCATGTATAACACATACAAAGCCATTAGTAAAGTCACATTTGCATAACTTGACAAAAACCACATAGCGAAAGTACGGAACGGGGGTGGGGTGAATAAACAAGACTCTATAAAATGGGGTCCCTAATGAGAAAGCTATTGTACAAAAGTATGTCTCCAACTCCAGACATACTTAATTATGAACAGTGTTTGGAAAATTATTCTTGAATCACTGTGCCCAAAATGCCCTAGCTAGCATCACAATAGCTAGAAATCTTGGCAATGATTGTTGAGAAAAGTAACCTTTCTAAGTTGCATTCAAATCTCAGGCTGAGCAAGCATGAGGAGGGTAAGCTTCTTCGCAAGAGAACAAAGTTGAACTGCAGAACTCTTAAAGGAACAGCATGCCCTTACTTGTAGACAAAGTCAGATAGCAACTGTTCTTATATTTTGTTTAAAAAAGGATAAACGTTGTTGCAAAGGATATAAAAATATGCTGGCAAGACTGATCTTCTTTGGAGTAGTTTCTGATGGCATTTAGAATCAATGAAAAGGTTACTTTGTGCCTCAAAACCTGGACTTTCTTTTTATTCAGAAAAAAACCCCCTCAGATTTTGTAACACAACTTTTGCGCTTTTAAATGGCAGCACCGTTCTTTCACGTTGTTATAGAAAAATCCAGACAACTTCTAACATATAATGATTATGTCATAAAAAAACGACAAGAGCTGGTAAATATGCAACTACTGGTCAAGTCAGAATGAAGATGCTAACAATGGAGGGACTGGCAACTTCATATTCGCCTTACCTGAAAGTAGAGAATCATCATGATGGAATTATGCATATAGCCCAGTAAGGCAAAGAAGCTGGTTTTGGAAGGTCACTTGCACGTAATTAAAAATAAAATAGCTCTTAGCAAGATTCTGATTTTATCAAAGTGAGACAGAAGTATCTTCAGAATCCAATCGCAGCACTTCAATAACCAGCAACATAAAAGACCAAGTTACTTCTGGAACAGAAAGGTGATACTTATCTAACACTGTCGGATAGGTCAGTTTTTGACCAGCAGATACTTCAGAAATAAATCCTATTGACAAGTCTCTTAGTGCCTTAATAAGAAGCCACTTGGTGCTATTGTGCTTCATTATAAAAGAGCCAACGTCCTATGTATAGGGCGCCCCCAAAGGAGATCTCCAAATTCCCATCCTATCAACTGGAGGGCCACAGCAAAATAGCAAACTTTCACCTCTCACCCTGCAACTTCCAAAGAGCACAGTTGAGACAGAGATCTCCCAATGTCTGTGAACAGTTCCCGATATTTTAATATATATGTATATATGTGCCTTTTCTATTGTGAGTGAAGATCTCTGCAAGATGTTGCCCCAAGTATTTTGCAAGTCTTTCTTGGTGAGGCAGTAAGAGATTCTGGTCTACATTTCAGAGAGACCATTACACAGAATGTTTCAGAGTTCTTTGCTCTGGTACATGAAACTGCCTAAAGACCACCCAAGAATACCCAAGCTGTCCCGGATCCGCCACCAAGAAGGGCTTCTACCTGAGAACACCAGGCAGATTTTGAAATCTGAAAGGCCCATTTATAGGATCTGCAATCTGAAGAGGTAACCCTTTCCCTAGGCTGAACCCACTTAGGCAGAGGGGTTGGGGAAGGCTACGGAACCATTCCCCAAAGGAAAGAACATCAAGGAAAGGTTGGCTGAACCCATTTCCCTAACCAGACAGCTTAATATCGAAAAAGTGCTCAAACATACACCTTGTTCCCATCACCTAAAGTGGTCAGTCAAGTGAAATCTTTTTCCCTTGGTTCCCCTGACTATGTGAACCGGGATCCAGACTAAAGCGGTCTGAATCTATAGACCCAGTTCCAGAACTGCTATCTGCAACATTAACCTTATTCTGGGAGGCAAAACGTGTGAGTGGCATAAAATTTGTTTGCATTATTTAAAAGAAAGTACGGTAACTGGTGTATGTGTCACGTAACACTGAATAACTGCAAGTACAAGCAAAGTAAATCACTATTGTAAAAAGGGCCAAAAAGGGAGCAGTCTGTTAAAAGAAGCTTTTTGTTACACATGTGTGAAATGCTGCTTATTTCGTGAGTCTCTTCGCTACATCGCTGTATGCTATTTCAATCTCTTTGTCTCCTGGACAAGTGTTGGTAAATTCATCCCGGCTGTAGGCATTACTCAGGTATCTCCAGATCCCGGTCATTGTCTTGGGAATATCGAAGTTTCGATACTTTTTGGCTACAACCTAGAAACAAAATAAAACCAAAAAAAATGAATTAATTGCTTCTGCTTAGAAAAGAAAAGAGCCATGTGGCCCTTTACACCATCTGAAGGTAAGAGTGAATGACACTTCTATTAAACCACTAAAATCTCTGACAGAGGTAACCTTACAATTCTGCATGAATCTTCGTCAGGCTGGCCATTACAGAACTAAGGGTCATGCAGAAAAAAGACCGAAGTTCCAAAATATACGGCCAGATGTGCAAGCCATATTGCTTGTTTAAAGCAAATTTCAAAAACAGGTTACACTAAATTGGTAGATTGTCAGCCTGGAGGCAAGCAGTGCATCACGGCCTCTCCCAATTTGAAGAGACCCTTGTCCAGCAGGCCGAGGCAAAGAGGAAGTCACATAAGCAGCAAAACCAGGGAGCCGGACAGGGGACAGACTGGGTTTGTCCTCAGTGTGGAAGGGACTGTCACTCTCGAATTGGCCTTCTCAGCCACACTAGGCGCTGTTCCAAGCCCTCCATACAGAGCACGCTACCATAGTCTTTCGAGACTGAAGGATGCCTAACTAGGTTTCAGATTTTCTATATGCATATGTATGGCCTCCCTGACCTCAAACCACCTATCTTCTTGGTCTAAGATGAGTTCATAGGGATCACCACAAAACAAAGTACGTTTTTTTGCTTCAGAAATATCTTTGTCATACATGCAAATTTAAATGCACTGAATTAAATGTTATTTAATCAGGGAGTAGTCTTAATATATACTAGCCAAATCTTTCCTTTCCATGCACCCTTGTCTCTGTATAATGAAGATGGGCAAGTTTATATCAAGTGGAAATTTGTAAGTGCACAGTGTTTTCATAACACACTATCTAAACTGTTCTTTACTACAGATGGTTGCCACTCTCAGCTTGAGACTCAAACATCAATCATACACAGACGCATGTCTGAAATGGCCCTCAAGCAGAGGTTTGCCTACCTTGACAATATGCAGCTTGGGCAACAAGTTGCAATCTGCTAGTGTCATCTCATCACCATCCAGAAATTTGCGAGTGGAAACGGTGACGTCCTCCATGCTGTTTTCATCAATCTCGTCAGGGAGAGGTGTGTTCAGGTAATCATCCAACTTCTGCAGAGTCTTCAGCAGGCCCCTCTCCAAGGCTAGGCGGAAAGAAGTGGCTGGATTAGCCAACAGAAATGAGAAAAGGAAAGCCAGCAAGGCTGAACGAAGAGACCTTGGAAAAGTGGTTGTTGGTTTTTTGGACTACAACTCCCAGAATCCCCAAGCAATTTGATGGCCATGCTGTCTGGGGATTCTGGTAATTGTAGTTCAAAAACAAACATGTCCAAGCCCTGAGAATACACCAATCACAACTTCCAACTTGCATACCAGTGAGACCAGTTCTATGAACAAAATTCATTCATAGCTGCCCCAAGTAGACGTTGTCAAGAGGGGCGGGGTAAAAATAGAATAAATAAATAAATAAAATAAATAAATACACAAGGGAGGGAGACTGGATGGTACCTGACGCCTGTCTCATCAACCTCGACAAGATGTAGGTGTTTGTTCACAGGCAGCCCCAATGATGATGGAACACCCTCAAGTAACTACCAAGGTATACTCAACAGACGTGAAAAGGGTGAGCACCAGTTCTACTGCTGGTGTTTATTTGGATTTTAAAGGTTTACAGGCCTTTTATTTGCTTTAATTGTTTTTATTGGTAATGACATATAGCTGACTCTTATTGCAATCCTGATCAACACTTATTGATCCTTTAACAATGTAGGGGACTTTAAATGAATGAAATTCTGAATTCACACCAGTTTTGAGAATTAGTAGCACTCTCCCGTCCACAAACACACACACAAACAAACTAATGTTCCAGGAAACAGACTATCAATTCTTCTGGCTTCACCATCACATTCTCAAGTCTCTTTACCACCCTTAGATCTATTCAGCTGGGTAAAAGCACAAAACATTTATAACTTTTCATTTGGGGGGATTTCTAAGAGAAGAGACCTTCACAGTCCCTGAAATAAAGCACTAGAAGACTAAGCTATACAAATAAATTTCTAGCATTTTGATACCACTTTCATTGCCTGGCTCCAGAAGACTGGAATTTATAGTTTGGCAAATCAGATTTTTCTACTCCACACGGCAGGATTCTGGAGGAGGAACCACCTAGCAGCGAATACTCTTAACATAACAGTGCAAATCTACTTTGTTCTCTGCTTGTGCTCCATAACTGTTGCATATATGGCTCGCAACACTGAGTGTAATCATGAATCAAGAATCTTTACATCGTGGATCAAGACGTCATATTAGTTTCCAAAGAGGAATCATGCAACAGCAGAGGGCAGTATTGGTCAACACGCCTCTCCATGCAGTTCACTGTTAAGTGGCTTACATTGTCTAAGATGGAGGACTGAAAGATTCTAACCTTCGAGCTCTCTGTGAGAGTCTATGGGCTATCCTGGGTGAAATCTAACACCACTGCATCACCTGAAGAGACCCATTTCTTCATCTGCAGCATCTCTCCTCCATTACATCCTGAAACACTATACAGATTAACGAGGGTTCAAGATTCAGCCTTCCTTCTCACATTTCCTTTTCCTCCCTCCACCCACTTTGAACCACAGACATTATTCTAAAAGCTTGCACAGTATGTGCCTTAGCACACCCTTTTGTACCTTTCTGGTAGATCTAACAGAGGCATCACATCAGTATGGATTTTCCTGCTATCCCTGCTCCACCTTTTCACTAGAGAGAAGCAGCTTTGGCTGCCAGTTTTCCTGTCCTGTGTAAGGAATGCAGGATCCGGAGACTTATTTACATAACCCAGGGCTAAGAGGATAAAGCAAGGGTCCTCTCGCACATTCCAAGCCACAACTTCTAAACTTTGGAGTGGCCTGGGTGTTGACAAGCAGTAATTAGGGCTTGGGGTTGTTTAAAGGCCGTCAGGACTTTTGTTGTTTCTGCAGGATAAGCAAATAATCTGAACCCACTTTAAGATGTTTACTACTTTAACTCAACTTTTGCAAGCAGTACAAAAGGTGAACAACTGTGGGGTCAAGAACATTCTTCAAGATGGATTCTTGTTAACACATGATTACACTCGATGTTACAAGCCAAATTCAGCAAGAATGGCATCCTTTAGCCTGGAACAAGAACTATGAGTTATTCTGGGGGATTCTTCTCTTCAACATTCTCCCATCTACTGTCTCTCTTAGCTGCAGTAGCATATTTACCAATTTGCAACCAAGCTGACAAGAACCTTGATGTCAAGGCTGTAGCTGCAACCCACCTCCAATGATCTCTTTGTGTATTCAGGGTAAAATTCCTCTGTGTTGTGCAAAACTCATTTTCAAGCACACACACCCTTTGCAATTCAAAAAGAATAAACTCCCATGAACATGCATACTTGGCCTTCAGAAATAACCTAGATGGTCAAATCCACCCCCAAGCTATGATGCAGAGGCTACAGATATATGGGAGAAGACAGAGACAAAGTGAAAAGATGCTCTGACTCAGAACACGAAATGGTAATAAGAAAACACCCCCCAGGAAGAACGCAGTTATCAATATTGTTCTTCTACAGTGAGCTGCTGTGTGACATTCCTGTGGCAAAAGGTCACTTAGCAACCATGGGTTGCTGATATACAAGCGCAAACCACAATCTAGGTTTTACAGGTCTGTGCATCCAAATGAATTGTTATTTTGAGACTCTAAAGAGCAGTATGTTTTCCATACAAGAAGCATGCAGACCATTTGGAGAAAATGTCAAACAGCAGCTAATCTAGCCAATTAAATCTTAGTAGGAGACACTTTAAAAAAAAAAACCCAACTAACACATTCTTACATTTAAAAAAATAGCTTTGTCTGATCCAGTCTTAAAAGGTGGTCCAGGAAATTCAGAAGTTAACAAAGCAAGAGCAACTACACAAAGGATAAACTCTGCCACAAAGGATGGAGAATACTGATGCTGGGCATTTAGAAGCATGTTTAAGGAGTACATTTTTCGTGTGTCACTAAGAGGAAGGTGACAGGAACATAAATCTGTATAAACTATTGTCCTAAGTAATAAAGAGATGTCATTAGAAAAGCAGGCTTTCAGAAATACAGACATGATCAATGACTACAACCTAAAATCTGCTACTGGATTAAATCATAGATTCCCAATGTAGAAATTGATCAGTGGCCAGCTAATGGTCAGAAATCCAGGAAACATTTATCCTGAGGAAACCAAGTGGTCATGGTTGCTAGTTTTAAACTCCATCGTTAATTTATCCCTCTTTTCTTAGGAACGTTTTGAGTTATACAAGTCTAAATGAAAGAACCAATTCAAATGTTACCAAGTTCACCTAATTAACATGCAGATTTTTATTTTTAGCATGGTGCATGATGCCTTTAGGTTATATACACAGTGACTCCCAGATATGCAGCCATATTATTTTGCTGCAGGGATTTTTTTTTAAAGGAGCCTTTTGAAACCTCAAAGACAGAAAGATTTATTGCGGCCAAACCTTTTGTGAAGGCCTATCTTTGGTTGGCAGATGCACACAGAGAGAGAGACAGTTATAAACAGAGAGGCCAAATGATCATGAAATATATTCAACCACTCAGCCGTGTACATAGATGGCATGTGTTTGCGTGTGTGTATTTTATGCTTCCACACTTGCTGTTTCAATTTTTTTCTATTATATCCATGGATATACTACATGAACATAACATTTTATACACCTAAGGGGTTCTCGTCCACAGGAGACATCCAATGGTCTCTGAAAGGAGCCACAAAGCACTGCTCACGCACATAAAGATTCTAGAAAATATGAATCCTGTAGAGAGCTGGGCTTTGATTAGAAGGCCTGGGTCTCTGTGTATCTGGCACATCAACAGAATCTTTCTGTATCTGTATATGCTCAAGATGACTTATAAAACTGCAGTCTCTTTTCTGGCTCCGACTGATAAGACAGTCTATTAACATCTGGAAGGTGACAGCCTCCCCACTCTTAGCTTAATGCTTATTCTCTGCCCCCCACCTTCCCCTTGCAGGACTGCAAACGCAGCAGGTGGAAGCCAGCATGCATGACCTGGATCAGCGGAGAGTGTAAGAAAAAAGTTCCTTGTGCTTTGTTTCTCTTTGCAGCAGCAATAAGGGATAGGCTTTAGGGCTTTATTGCACATTGGAAAGTTATAGGCAGTGGCCACCACGAGGTCCTCCAGATGTTGCCTTTCTTTAAACCCATCAGCTGGAATCATGGGGAAAGCAGCCCAGTAACATCTAGAGAGTCATAAGTTGCCCATTCCTGATGAGACAAACACTGTCTGCTTGGGTGAGAGGCACCACTTAACTGCTCTACATGAGATACTGTCCTCCTCTACCAAGGTGACTAGGGAGAAACACCTAGAAAACAGTCCTAATGCAAATTTATGCACAAGAGGAAAGACCAGCTTCCCCACCTTCATTTGTTTCGGGTTTGGAATTCTTGATAAATGCCGAAAATTTGGCAAAGATGTCCATTCCAGCGGTGTTTGATTCTGGATGCTTGGCTGAAAGCTTTGAATACCTAAAGAAGAATACATATTTAATTTAATACACAATTTCAGTAACAGCATGGCACCTCACAAGATATAGGAGACATCCCATTTAATAACTTTTGGAGCTATTTAATTCTGTTGTCACAAGAGGCATACATTTCCCTCTAGCTTACAGTAACCCTAGCTGTGTAAATTAAATTTTCTAAGAAATGATGAACTTGCCCATTCCCCTTTCTAGGGAATCTCCCCTCTCTTTCCCAGCCAGACATTTTTTAAAAATAGAAATTAGGTTTTTCCAACCCCTTTGCCTCTAGACCAGTGTTTCCCAACCTTGGGTCCTCAAATGTAGACTTAGCTATTATCTCTGGAAGCATTGCTCTCCTGCGTGAACCCAGTGAAATTGTCTGTTCATTCAGTGTCAGCAGTCATCTGATTTCTGCCAAAGCAAGTAGTGACTGATGACATTAGAGGAAGGGTGCTGTGTCTTAGAAATGCCAGCTAGCTATTAAAATTCCAGATATTCAAATAAGTAGATCAGCCCTCTTGAGCAATATTAAAATGGTTGCAATTACAAAAACCCAATGCTATTTAAGCATTACATCGCCCAGATTTTGTTCCTGCATGCCACATTTATTCTTTATTTAATTTTTGATGAATCCTCAGAATTGTTTAGCCCAAAGTTACAGTATTTACATGTGCACACTTAATTCACAGGAGAAACTTAGTGTTTCAGCCAACAGGAGAGAATAATTTCAAGAGCACCTCACTCTGCATTAGATATGGGTACTGCCTAAACACTTGATTTCTTGCAAACTGTGCAAATACCTCTCAAACAACACCTGACACTTGTCTTGAAAACTAGAGCTCAGAATAGTTACACTTTTATACTACAAACTCTATGTTAGTTGCAGGATTCTGGGAACTGCGGTCTACAAAAGTAACTTTTCCAAATAGTTAAAACCCTGCTAAGCAAGGGGCTACACTTTTTTGCATAGACTTGATGGCCTGCCGAAGTCTGCAAGCATCACCAACTTTATTTGTGACATTATGCTGAGCTTTGGAAGGACTGAAAATGCCCTAAATTCCAGTGGAAATGTGGGAGGGAGTCCTGCCCTTAATCATTCACATAGGAACACCTCCCAAACTCAACAGAATGTCAGACACATCACACTGCTTTGTCTCAAAGGCTCAATGCAGCGTCCTGGGAACTATCGGCCTCCAACACAAATCAGAAGGTGGGCCAGAGTATGTAGAATTACTCAAAGTATGCCCATCAAGGCATAAAGAAAGCCCCTACTTTTCAAAGTCTCTCTATTATTCAGCATCAGGTCTGGGGAGTGAGTTATAAGCACAGCACCAGGGGAGGTTTAAAAAAGAACATTCTCCCTACTAGTGAGAGTATGGTTTCCTATCTTGCCTGGAAATTACAGTGCATTGCTTTTAATGAACACAACCCTACTCTCTCATAAGTTAGGAAACACCAAGGGAAATTTTTATTGGAAGACAGGCTCGGTTTCATTTCAAGTACCAGTGACATTCGCAGAACTGAGTGTTGTGTCGAGTTTTACACAGCAAATCTTAGGTGACCTCCAGTCCCATCTGGCCTCTTCTTTTACAGGTGAATGAAGGCATACAAAGGTTCCTTTCTGCAGAGAGACCTGCTTGCCATAGTCGGGCCTGTTTAATGATTGGCAGAGCATCACAGAAAAGCTTCTCTGAGAGTTGATTTCCTAAGTCGTTTCCCACTCCTTGGAGGGGGCAATGCTAAGAGCACAGCAGCCGTGCGGGATGTGAACCACGATGGGAAGAAACTGGATAGAAGGGTAAGGGAGAAGCCAAATGGCATTTCTGCCAAGCTTGGTTGGTTGAAGACAATCGACTGCCTTTCCTCCCAAAAAATGTCATATTTTTCTCCCACATCAATTTGGATTGTAGAATTGAAAATAATTAATTTATAAAATTTTAATAGTCTTTTAAAAGCCAAAGATGCTTTTTAGAGAGGTCTTCCCTGCCTGATTTCATCCCTCATGTCCCATTTGTTACTGAAATAGTGTTATCTATTTTATTTCTCTAATTTTAAATTTATAACTTCATCTTTTCTAACTGCCTATATCTTAGCCCTGATAAACTAGCTAGTAAAAAAAAAAAACATCATCTAAAGAGGCCATGACCACATGGAGGACTAGCAAATAGGGATGGGATTTTCTCTGAAATCTGTTGGAATTGCTCCTGCTGGAAATCCAGGGGCTTTAGCTCCTGCACCCAAAAGACTTCATATAGTGCAAAGCAATGGGGGTATTGTACTATTTCTTTCCATTATGCTCCATACAAAAGGCATCTTAGGAAATTACAATAACCTTAATACTATGCAGTGGTCATAGAGCTTCACCCAACCAGTTCCTCATCCTTGGAACTCAGAGATGGAAGGATTTTTTTTCTCATTTATGTTACATCAAACACCTAAGTGGGCTTTTTTTGGGGGGGGAGGGAGTTAAAATCCTCTAGCCAAGACATTTCTGGTGTTGTAAATGTAAAAATCCTATCCCTACTAGCAGCACAATGCTCAGAAGCAACCACGACAATAATCGGCTAAATAACCTTCTGCACACGACCTCCAGATATAAACACACATATGGTAAAACTTACTTAGGTGGGCAGAGGACATCTTCAAGAAACTCTTCAATCTTGTTGACATCGGTCTTCACTTCATTATTAAATGTGATGAAAGGTGGGTGGGTCCCTGGAGCCAAGTTCTGAAGGTCAGCAGGCTTCCTGGGATATAAACAAAATTTTGCCTACATTATAAACGTTCAGTACACTGCAAACTCATGTAGAGTTGTAGTTAGCACTGTTACAACCTTTAGTGGCCAAGTCTTACGTTGACCAGGAAAACATTTAACTTGAAATAAGAAGATGCACTTTAGAGGCAGAACGGAGCATTCGAAGTACAGAGTGGCTTCACAAGCAACTTCAAGGATTTTGCTGACAGGGTTAAAGAACACCCAGTCAATAGCTGAACCAAAGCAATACTGCAATGCCTTGCACTTTTAGGGCTTAGTATTACTTCCAAATGATTTGCAAAGCTAGACATGGCTTTGATCGGCAGGGTGAGCTCTGCAGGTGTGGCCATGAGCACTCCTTACACCTCTCTTTTGACAAATATCTCAAGATCCAGGAGACATTTCTGAACAGATACTGGTTCTTGTTAGATATCAATTCCACTCCATCGCTCACCTGCTGCTTTGGCCTCCTGGAATCGAGTTAGTTTTTCCTATCTACTTTCAAAAAATAGTTGTGTCTTCATCTAATCATCATCATCATAACTGAAATACAGAGCAGGAATGGATCCTATGGATCATGAATCCAGCCTCTGTCAAGGAGGCCGGGGGGGGGGGAATCAAACTCCCAACCTCTGGCTCAGCAACCAGGTGCCTAAGCCACTGAGCTAAAGTATGTGCCATGCAGAATAGATTTGCTGACAGTATGTGCACTGTGGTGGCGCTGTGGGCTAAACCGCAGAAGCCTGTGCTGCAGGGTCAGAAGACCAAGCAGTCGTAAGATCGAATCCACGCGACGCAGTGAGCGCCCGTTGCTTGTCCCAGCTCCCGCCAACCTAGCGGTTCGAAAGCATGCAAATGCGAGTAGATAAATAGGTACCATCTCGGTGGGAAGGTAAACAACGTTCCGTGTCTAAATCACACTGGCCATGTGACCATGGAAAGATGGTCTTCGGACAAAACGCTGGCTCTATGGCTTGAAGAGCGGGATGAGCGCCGCCCCCTAGAGTCGGACACGACTCAACCTCTGGCTCAGCAACCAGATGCCTAAGCCACTGAGCTAAAGTATGTACCATGCAGAATAGATTTGCTGACAGTACGTGCACTGCCCAAAGCTAAAACGCTAAACCGCAGAAGCCTGTGCTGCAGGGTCAGAAGACCAAGCAGTCGTAAGATCGAATCCACGCGACGCAGTGAGCGCCCGTTGCTTGTCCCAGCTCCCGCCAACCTAGCGGTTCGAAAGCATGCAAATGCGAGTAGATAAATAGGTACCATCTCGGTGGGAAGGTAAACAACGTTCCGTGTCTAAATCACACTGGCCATGTGACCATGGAAAGATGGTCTTCGGACAAAACGCTGGCTCTATGGCTTGAAGAGCGGGATGAGCGCCGCCCCCTAGAGTCGGACACGACTGGACAAAAAAATTGTCAAGGGGAACCTTTACCTTTACCTTTATGTGCACTGCCCGAAGCTAAAAGTTCAAACCACCACTGTGTCTCCTGAGAAAGTGGCATCACCATCCCATGTGTGTTGATGTCCAAATCCTCTGCTACTTGAATGGATTTGGACAAGTTGCACAATCACAGGGTGGCACCAGGAGGGACTAGGAAACCGCTTCTGAGTGATTCATGTCTCAAAACCCCCCAAAAGAGTTCCCATGAGTCAGAATCCAAGTGGCACATAACTATTATTACTATTATGATGATCAGTGCCTAAATGTCCCAAGCTCAAAGGCCTAGCTGCTTGGGGAATTCTGGAAGCTGGAGTCCAGCAACATAAACCTTCACACCTATGGCATACTCATGTATATCTTTGCATATACATGCCTGTGTGCATGTGTTCAAAATATTTATAATTCTTATGCTCAAACAGCTGGTGGCTTTCTTATTGCTGCTACTGCTATTAACATATTAGGAGCAGTTACCAGCCTGGGCAAGTATGGTTTTGTTTGATATAATCATATTTCAGGAGAGTGTGGGGTAACAGTTGTACCTGCAGGGGGAAAGCAATCCAGACTCTATACATCAGATAGTCACCTGACACCTCTGGCAAGGGAGTTCTAGAGATTTATCGCTCTGTGGAGGGCATAATCATGCAGAGGGTGAACTGAAGCTCACGGCAAGCAACCCACAATATCCAGCTTCAGAATGCTGTAAAATGATGGGGTTTAGAGAGACCACGTTCCTCTGCCCCGAGCCCCAAATTGACACCTCCAGTGTTTCTCCAACTCAACTGCCCTCTGCTAGATATCCTTCCAGGACTCACAGCCTGTCAGCCTGTGATCCTATAGAACAGCTTCCCACAAACAGTTGCCCTCCAGATGTACAATTTTTACCATCTAGAACCAACATGGCTCTTTTAGACCAGATTTTCCCCTCCTGGAGTAAAAGAGCTGTTCAGATAAAACAGCACACAGATGGAAGAATTTAGAACAGCTGTAATTGGGCAGCTGTTTTATTCCCCAACCACCCTCCCTCAAACAGATTGTCTGTCTTTTGCATCATTTAGCATGAATCCAGAGGTTCTCTTTACACACATCAAGGTTGAGTGGTTGCTCTTCTTTATGCCCTTAACATTCTACAGGTACCGAAATGACAATATATTGTTTTTTAAACATTTCTAGTTTAGAAGTTTGTAAATGCTTACTGGCTTAGGGAATCCCCCGGATAAGGAGACGTTTCTACATTATTTGAGTTAGTTTCACTTCAGACCACAGATAGTCAAAGTGCTTATTGAAGAGAATGGTGAATAGGTAGTGATGTATAAAGTATGGCTGCAATTTATCATATAAGGGTTTTAGACTGGCCAATATGATGACACCATACATGATGAAAGCAAGAATTTTTACATAGGGTTCCATCTATTTTAATAGAGCTTTTAATGTAGGTACTGTGACTTGTGACCTTCTGGGTTACATCTTCCACCTTTAATAATGGCAAAAAAAATCTACTGCCTGGTATTTGTTGAATGCCAGAAAACACAAGCAGAATATTTAGTTTTGCAAAACTGCCCCTGACTACGCATGAAAGCATACCCTTTAAATGTCCCTAATTTGTCCTTTTCCAAAAGCTGCGGCAATATTGTGAGTCAGTTACATACCTTAAGCAGCTTAGGCTTCAATTAAAGCACTGCTGTGTACACCCACAATAATTACAGGAAATTACTACAGTGGCTCTACTCCAATTTCTCGTATTGGTTGGAAGATTCTCTCAAGTGGAAAAATAGCTTAAATCATATGTGGCAAACTGTACTGATCAGGTGTGAAGATTGCGTTCTGTTCTTCAAGGCAGGCAAGACCAAACTCATATCAACTGCCGAGGGGAAGTTTTGAAAGCAACGGACAAGGGCCTCTGGTGTGTCCCCTCCCTCTCAAAATGGCAAATTAACACTAATTGCTGAAACAACTCCCCTTGCTCGTATAAACAACAGAGTTTGATAGTGCTATATTACTTCACTCCCTTAGCATCCCTTTAAGCCACTCCTTTCTCTAGATTACTTACTGTGCACATTTCTACTATAGATAGAAACACCGAGGTTTAATTATGTAAATTTATTTTTTTAGAGGCAACAATTGTTGAGGGGTCCCCCCCCCTTTTGTTAAAGAAAGGATGGCCTATATAGTCACTTTCCCAAACCCACCTTTATTGGTCTCTGTTATAAATTTAAATTGACTTTCAACACGGTCTTCCAATACTAAGTACAGTGGTGCCTCGCATAGCGATCGCTCCGTTTAACGAAGAAATCGCTTTGCAACGCTGTTTTTGCGATCGCAAAAGCGATCGCTTTGCGATGTTCCCTATGGGGAAAATTCGCTTTGCAATGATCGCAGGGAAGCTATCATTGCAAAGCCCCCATTTTCGGCCAGCTGATCGGCGGTTCCAAAATGGCCGCAGGGTAAACAAAATGGCCACCCGCTGTGTTGCCTCGCTTTAGAGGCACCAAAAATGGCCGCCGCAATGGAGGATTTTCGCATAAGGTTAGTTTTTAAGCCCATAAGAATGCATTAAATGTGTTTGAATGCGTTTCTGTGGGCTTTTTAATATCGCTTGGCGACGTTTTCGTTCTGCAGCGATTTTTGCGGAATGGATTAACGTCGCTAAGTGAGGCACCACTGTATAAGGAATTAGATGGCAAGGTAAAAGGGACTACCTTCTGGAAACAGAGGACCACGACTCTCAGTGTATACCAGAAGCACAGATTGTGTGTGACACTCTGCCTCTTCCAATTATACAAGAGCACAGCAAGAGAACTGCATAAACCAAATGCTGTTTGGGTCAAAATGAACAACATATCGGGGGGTGGCGGCGGTGGGAGGGGGAGTGAATAGTAAATAACATTTGTAGAAGAGGGACAAAAACAGGAAGTGGTATTTCAGAATGACAACCTAGTCTAAAGAAGTTACAAAATTTGTACCAGCCTGCTTGCAAATACTAGCATGCAATGCATGAGCACAATCCACTTCTCATTTAACAAGCACCCAAAAAACTCTATTCCTATTCCCTGTGGGTGGCTTAAGCCTCTGCTACACTACACAGATTTGTCCCCATGAGTGCAACAAATTCCACACACACTGCAAAGGAGTTCTGTTGTATGTACTGTGCAGAACTTAAAAGCAGAGGTGAGAAAACCTGGGGCCTTCCAGCTGTTCTTAGACAGCCCTTCACACCATCCCTCACCATTGGCTATATGTGTCGGGGTCAATGAGAGCCGCAGGCCAACGGCATTCAAAGACCACACAATCCCCACCCCTGCTTTAAAGAAAGGCTACTGCCACTGGAGATCTGGATCTACTGGCAGATTGCTAAGTGATCTGCAATAGCCTGGCATGGATTTCGGGGATCCTAACAGCAGGAACAAGAAAAGGATCCCTCAACACACTGAACGGTACCACTAAAATGAAACAGAGTAAGCAGAAATGGATTTATGTGGGGAAGAACTGCAAGCTCTGTTCCATTCTGACATGAGTTCCTGGGCTCAGAATTCTTAACCCAAAGTGTATATTTATCAAATGAAGTTCTGATTAATGAACCTTGAGGTTCAGAAAGAAAATTCTGGGGCCTGCTTACCCCTGGAAGAAAACCCTGCCTCTCCCTCTATCTTCTAGACATCATATGTGCCAAGAAGTATCCTGCCCTTCTTCCAAACAGTTTGGGGTAGCATCTGAGGTGGTGACGATGGTTATCTCATTATAATCCCACATCCCTCTGAGGCAAATTCAGCTAAAGCCAGCCAAGGATCTCCACTGAGCAAGCAGAGTTTGGAACCAGAATCTTTCCAATTTATGGTATCCAGATCCCCACACTGCTTCTCAGCAGGAGAAGTCAATCAGGGGTGGGGGGTTGAGATTTCAGGCATTACAATTGAAGAGTTAAACTTCTAAAATCTTTCTGCGTTCTCAGAAAGTCTAAGACAGATAGGACCAAGAAAAGGACAATAACCAGGTTTCAGGTGCCGAAGCAGACATGGTTTGGTCCAAGTAATTACAGCAGTAACCCATGGAAATGCCTATAAATACTCTCTGGTAAAAAGAACAGCCCTGTTTTCCAGTCTGACAAGCACAGTGGCACTAGCTGTGGGTCATTACAGTGTGTGTCATTTGGTATGTTTTTCCTTAAGATTCACTGGACAGATGCCCAGACAGTCGGGCTGGCCAGGGATATTTTAAATGCCCAAAATGGCATAAACATTACGATTACTGATGGAGCCACCCCTTTAGACTCTGTTTAGAAGAGGTACAAAATGACTTTGCTTAACTTTAGCCTAATTCAGACTTAGAGGGAGTTGTCCTCTCCTCCATGTATGTGCAAAACTGCCCTCAAAGACAGACGGACGGACGGACGGACAGACAGACAGAAAGAAAGAAAGAAAGAATTTTTTCAGTCTCAGACAGGGTGGATTTGATTTAAACCAACTTGATTTAAATTGTGATTTAATGTTGTTTAAATCAGATTTCTGATTAAATTTTAAAAATTCAATCTTTTAAATTTAAAGCATGATCAAAACTATTTTATTTTAAATATCATTGATTTTTATCCACCCTGATTTAGCAACACCTAGACTAGCATGGTGAGGAACTTCAACATCTCTTCTCCTCCTGCCCATTCACTTATTGTTTGTCTCCTAATTTACTGGGGGGGGGATGCATCCCATGAAGTCTTAGAACAAGGGTAGGTAAAGATGCTCAGAACTGCAACCCTTGTCAGCTCCAGCCAAGATAGCTCAGAGTGAAGAATGCTGGGAACCGAGAGTCCAACAACAATTGCAGGGTTGCCCTTTGCTCGCCCCTGCCCAAAAGGATGGCAGATATCCGGAGCCATCAAGAAGCAGGGAACACGCAGCTCTGATGGTTAGATAGATGTCAAAAACAGCAGCAGGAAGAATCATGTGATAGCTTGCTATTTAGAGTCAGCCTCAAAAGGTTAGGGCTCTGCCTACAACAGGCTGAGGGATTCATTTCCAAGCTTCCCAATGCTGTGTATCAGCACAATGATGCACGGAAACATAGATGTCTATGCATCAGACCAGCCCCATGCCCCGTTTCTAATGCTTCATACTATCCACTGCAATCTGTCTGCTAAGGAAACTCTGTACATTTGTACCAGAATCTCTGTGACCTTAGAGAGAATTCTGATATTGGGACTCTATCAGACTAGGGGAAGGCTGGCCAGACCAGCTGGCCTTCCCTTTTGCCATGAATGTACCTTGCCAGAAAAGGAAACTGGATAAATGCATGGAAGAGGAGGCTACCAACGAAGATGGATGTATACTCTGTCAAGTACTAGCGATAGTATCCTTCTGCCCATCAGTTGCCAGAGAAGCACAAGCAAGAGGTTGAGAGGCTTCCCATGAGAAACTGGACGGCAACTGTACAACAAAATGCTGGACAGACCTTTGGTTTGGTCTAGTTCAGGCTTGTCCAAACTTGGCCCTCCAGATGTTCTTAGACTACAGCTCCCAGAAGCCTTCACCACCACCTCTGCTGGCCAGGATTTCTGGGAGTTGAAGTCCAAGAACATCTGGAGGGCCAACAAATGCAGCAAGCACTCTAGCCACCCACCAGAAGCGGCCTGCTACAGGAAAACAGGACTACTTTATCATTAAAGTTTTCTCAGACGATGCCACTGACTGAAGAACTTCTGAGGAACTCCCAAATTTCCTTGGGATTTCACTTGAAAGCCATTCGCTCCGTTTTTTCCCCCAGTGGTCCCCACACTATTTTTAAAAAATACTGCAAGTTTGCCCCATGTTCTTGGACAAGCTCAGCTCTGCTCCGACCAACAAAAGATGTCTAATTTCTGTACACAGACACAAGCTGCATTCCTGAAGAGGGAAAAGAATGAAGCCTCTGTCTGTAGTCCACTGAGAGGCAGAAAACATATGAGCACTCGGGGGGGGGGGAGAGCTGCTGTGTCCCCATTTGGCCCATGCATATTTCTTGCTTGTGTCCATAGCTACTGAAGAATTGAACTGGAAATAGCCTCTTGTTAGCACAGCACTATATTTAACAGAACTGCACAAAGGAAAATACTTATCATGGAAGACTACAAGGGAAAGTTTTATTCAGGGACCCACAGGTATTTGCTCTGACAGTAGCAGCACTTTTTTGGAGTTCAAATAATGGACACTGTCAACAAATGACTATTTGCATCCCATTTAATAAGAATACACTTGCATTTCACAACAGAGGAATTGGGTCATGTAACCTTACATATCATAGGGTAATCATACTCTGTAGAGTCACAACAAGACAGTCATATAAGAGTATGAGACCTATGCAATAATTTTCTCTAGTGGATACTCAGTTGAGTTTATCCTCCATCTGAAAGCAAAACAGGACTATTACCGTCCCTGAAAAAATACTGCTTTCCAATCTTAAAACTTTTTAAGAAACACAGAAGTTCCTAAAGGGGAAAAATGGCTGGAAATGGCTAGTTTCAGATGAGGTTTCTATTATTTTAGCAATGAGAAGATACTTTGCAGCTATTCTATTAGTTCTTTATAATGCAGATTCAGAGGCAGAAGACAATGCTGCATAAAGGTTTAATCACATTCAGTGAATGAGGCTGGGTACCTATATGAAAAATGTTTCTTTTGAGAATTGAATTTATTTCTTTTTTATTTATGAGATTTTTTTACCCACGCCATTACTAATGGTCTCCAATTTGCTTATCTGTCATGCTTTCTTAGCATCATAAGTTATTAATTGTTTTGGTTATTCATTTGTGCAGATACACAGCTGCTCCAAAGGACCACATTTTTGGAGAAACAACATCTTGTCACCTTCTAACTACATCTCATCTAGATTGGCCTGACTTCTGGCTCATTACCTGGTTAGCTCCCAGGAAGTTGAGTGCAAAGATGAAAAAGCACCATCAATTGTCTGAAGATGGAGCTTCTAGGTTCAGAACAGTGGGAATCCTACTGGCACAGCTCTGCATGTGCAAGGCTCTGCCACCAGTGATTTTTGGACATTAAAATCCCCACTCACTGCACCTTGAAGTTCCCAAAGGCTTCCCCGAGTTGAAAGAGCCGTAGCTCCCAGGAAGTTGAGTGCAAAGATGAAAAAGCACCATCAATTGTCTGAAGATGGAGCTTCTAGGTTCAGAACAGTGGGAATCCTACTGGCACAGCTCTGCATGTGCAAGGCTCTGCCACCAGTGATTTTTGGACATTAAAATCCCCACTCACTGCACCTTGAGGTTCCCAAAGGCTTCCCCAAGTTGAAAGAGCCGTCTTGAGTAGACCTGGTCTACAGGGACGGGGTATAAATCTAATTAAAGTAAAGTAAAGTGAAGAGACCCTTATGGGACCTTGAAACCTGAGGGGAGGAAGCAGGAAACCTTTAATTAAAGAGAAAAGGCAGGAGCTGATTACATCACTAGCCTTATTTGAACAGAGCTGTGCCGACAGGATTCTGGCCATGAAAGCTGAAACCCGCATCTTCTGTCTATGGTCCACATTTTGCTCATGAATGTGGCAGGAGAAGAGAACATTCTGCTGGCTTATCTGAGCTATGCTAAAATCCTGAATTACTCTATTGTTTTTACAGACAACACTTCTGCTCCCAGGCAGAGAAGGAGGAGAGAAAAAGGTCTTCTCCTTTTTGGGAAATGAGAGCTGTTATATATCTCAATAAGTAAAATGTTAAAAGTGAAATTCACAGAACAGAAAAAGCTGGAGGCATATCATTCAAAAAGTGCTGGGTGTTTCTGCAGCAGCCCAAGGAGTCATTAAGCTCCATGGTATTTTGAGTGAAATTCTCATTTGCCTTCTTTGGCATACAGCTTGTTTGCTCGGATGCTCCATATCCATACCTTTTTCTGTTCAAACTGAGGTGTTGTTGAATAATTGTGATACTTTGCATAATAGTCACACTACAATTCTTATGTATAACATTTACTCTAGACAGAGTAGAACGTGTAAGTGCCAATGTAATGTCAACAAAGCAATTGGTCACACAAGATTTATCTCTCATCCATAGCAACAATAGCTGCTAGAATCAAAGTTTAACATTTTGCTTTGAGAAAGAGGTTTCTGCTGAAATCTATCATAGATAACTGGATGCAAAGTAGTTCAGGGAAAATATGTGTTTCCTACCTTTTCAAATCAACTGTTGTAACACTAAATACCACTCCTTTAAGCCACAGGATCATGAAGAGTCTTTGAGAAAAAGGGCAGTTGCCTATGCTTTCACCATCACTGCCAGCCTGTTTAAAAAGAAAAAGAAAAATCCATTAGCAAAAGTTGAACAACTTTGAAGATCTGTCTTCAGACATTACCAGTATAAGCTACTGAAGAGGCAGAGCACTCTTCCAGCATTGACCACTGTCTAAGGTCATCAATATCATGCCCATCGGTGCCAATAACATCTCACAGAACTACTACGACATCTCTCTCTCTCTCTCTGTCTTTCTCTCTCTCACACACACACACACACACTCATTGTTGGAGCAACAAAAAATAAAGAAACTGGAGGACAGTTAGAGTTGGCGTTAGAGTTAGGATTTCAGTTAGCCAGGAGTTAGGGGCTTTGGTGTGATGAGATAGGACAGTTAGTCAGGAATTAGGGAAAGAGTTAGGTAGTTTGAAGAATTGTTTTGGAAAGAAACACTTGGAAAGAAAGATATAAGAGAACTGAATGCAATTGTTATAAAGTGATTGAAACTAAATACAAAGTAACCAGCATATTTCTGAGTTAAATGAAGTTGAATGAATACCAAATACAATTCCATCTACAATTTCCCTGATTCTTAAATATGTTAATCTATTAATAAACAATATTATATTTGAAAAAAATAAAGAAACCCACAGGACATCAGAAGCAAAAAGAGACAAGGACCACTTCTCACAGAGAAACCCCACACAACAAACTACACTTACAGAGATCAAGGAAGATACTCCCAAAATGCTGTCATAGGCCAGCCCTCCACTTCAAGGTAATTTGTGATGTTAGTACATTTTTCAATATTTCTGATTACCCTTTGGGTTCAAAGGGTTGTATCATGGGCATTTGTGGCATGTTTAAAAGTATCCCAAGATACGTAACTGGAAAGCTAACGCATTAAAAAAGATAAAAGGGATTCCTCCTTGCCTTTGAGTCTGTTACTCAAGAGAGCTAGACCATCATTTGGCTCAACAAGCAGTTTAATCAAATCGCTTACCAGAATGAGCCACAGAGGAGTCAGTAGGAAATCATTTTCTACATAAATCCAGAAGCGGGCCTATGGAACATCAGATCCATGAGGTCAGAGCCAGGTTGCAAAGTCATCCACAAATGGGGTGGCTTTGCTCCCTGCCCCTGAGAATGCAGAAAACGGCAGTGTATGGATCGTCTGATGAGCAACCCTACTTTGCCTCCAGAGAGGGGAGGAGTGAGACAAGCTGCACTGAAGGCTGCTCAATTTATAATTATAAACACCAGAAACATGACAGCTAAAGACTCTAAGCAGGAGAAATGTCATCTTCCAATCAAACTGACCCTCGTGTGAAGAGCTCCCTGCCTCCCATGTCTGAAGGCATATTTTTAGATTGAGATCTTCAAAGGCTTACGTATCTGAAGCCAACTTTTTGGCAGAATCCACTTTAGACTACAACCATACAGCAGTTCCCCTCTTCCTACTCTAGGAGAACGTTCTTTGTGCACCCAGCCATGCATCAATTACAGGAGCAGAGGAAAACCCACCAAAGCACTGTGCAACTGCAGGCGCAAATTTCTGCACAAGGATCCAGCCCTAAATGCCTTTCTTTATACATGGTGCTTTACAACTTTAAACAGGGAGCTTTTATTGCTTACGCAGGCAAGCAGCCACGAGGTGAGAAATCAAAATTGAGACTTACAGGAATGTAAAGGTTTTTCCAAGACACTGAGCAAAGGTGGGGAGTGGCTGGAAAGCAACCACAGTTGTGCCAAAAGAACACCCTGAGATTTTAGTTCACAAAACCAAAGGGCTGGGAGGGACTCAAGAATATAACCAAAGCCCTCTTTTTTCTCCATACAACGACACACAACCATATCTTGTAAAACCATGAAGCTAACTTAGTTCAGACTACTATGAAGACAGGAATCAATGAATAAGCTGTTCCGACCATATATGTCCACATAATATATTGAGCAGGAAGGTCTCGCCCTCTTGAGAAAATGACTCAAGCCACAGTAAGAAAAAGGACGCAAAGTCTTCCATCAACCTCAGGAAATTATTTCCAGACATCTACTTAGGAGGGATCGAAAACCTATCCTAAAGAGATAGGTACAGGATGCCAAATGCGGTATCCCAGCTTAAGCAAAGAGAAGCTTTTAAGCTACTGTCTAGCACACTGGTTTTTAGCTTGTGATACTCCAGGTGTTTCAACTTCCAGAAGTCTAAACCAGCCTGGTGAAATCCACAGGGATTCTGTGAACCAAAATCCAAAACATCTGGTCTAGTGAACTGCCAGCTGATGTTAACTGTCTTTCCTGCAGAGATGACATTCCAGGGAAACCTTATTCTCATCTCCAAATTATGCCTCTTCTGTTCTACTCCAAAACTGTCTTAGATATTTACAAGAAACTAACACGAAAATTACTACTGCTCTACCAAGAAATGCAGAATTTCCAGAGGTACCATGTCCTTCCTGATCAAAAACAAAAGAGGCTATTACTCCTCCCTGAGGAAAAGCAGAGTTTATTAAATCCACATTAAGCAACTTGAACACATAATTAGCTGGCAAAAGCTTTATTATAAAGAGTAAACTGCAGTATATCTACTTGTCTGCTGAGACTGGAAAATGAAGTGGCAAGCAAAATCTGAAACATACACACTCTTTGACCTCTTAGGTAATATTGCTAAGCCCACTTCACAGATTTGAAAGCGGTCTTACAATTTCCAAACCCTTGTTCTGCAAACATGTTGCATGAATGTTTCCCAAAAGATGTCCCTCATCAAAATGCTATGTAAAAGATGGACAATGAGGAAAGAAGGGGGAGAAATTGACTAATTTGAAAAGAGGTGTTGGGGGCGAGCCTTACAGATACGACAGACCGCCGGAAAGGCAAATAAGTGGGTGCTCAATGATGTAAAGTCTAAACTCCCACTAGAACAGAAACGAGTAACAGAAATGCACATATGAGAATATACAGATGACCAAAAAAAGATAGTATTCCTGGGGAAAGGGAGGGATAGTAAAAAAAAAGAGGGAGATCTAACATGAGATGGTTGACTCAAAGGAATCCACAGCTGTTAAGTTTGCGAGACCTGAGCAGAACTTACTAGAAAAGACAATTATGATAGGAAGGAGGGGAGGCAGTAGGAAAAGAGAACAACCAAACATGACGGGCTGTTGGTTTGCAAGATCTGCACAGAGTCGTTAATGATTGGTCCTATGGGAAGTCATTAACTCATATAGTCATCATACGTCAGATGTGACTTGATGGTACATAATTACCTTGGAAGGTTTTCTTTCTTTCTTTTCTTTTTTGATTATCAGGCAATTGTATAGTGAGAAGATGGGTGGAATGACAGAATATAGGCACCAAGGCTATGCTAACATCAAGACTGACACAATCCACAAAGCAAAACGCAGCAATTTCAGAAGTTAAATAACCTTCTGCATATTTGTTGTGGAACCGCAAAATGCAGCATCCACACCAGAATCAAAGAGCATGAGAGACACTGCAGACTAAAACAACCGGAAAAATCGGCAGTAGCTGAACATGCCCTGGAACAAGCTGGACATGAAATTCTATTTCAGAAGACAGAAATACTGGACTGCACCAGCAGAGTTTCAACAAAAAAGAAGAAAGTTTAAAAACAAAGCCTGGCTCCCAGCACTGAAAAATACAACCTGCAAAAGGTCAACGAACCCTACCCAGCCACAAGGACCAGTGATCACTGCACACAAAAGACCAGCTAACGACACCCATCAAGCACAGTGACAGATCATCTCTCCCCCTTATCCACCCACAACAAAAACACGCTGATCACCATTATCACCCAATCTCCTGAAAAGGACTAAAGCTGATCCAACAGTTATAGATACTCAACTATTCAACAAACTGCAACAGAGCACAGAGTTCTGACTCCTGTCCTCTGAATATGCCAGCCACAGAGACTGGCAAAACGTTAGGAAGAAAAACCTTAATTACATGGCCAAACAGCCCGGAAAACCCACAACAACCAAGGTATACAATATTTCATTTAACAACGTTCCCGCTAGTACATTTGCTCAGTCTTATAACAAAGTAGTTGTTTTCCCCATTTGAAAGGCCATTTTGATATATCAGGATCTCCTACCAACTCTCTTCAGACTGAAGAAGCTACTTGGACGAATAGCAAAATGTTTCAAACTAACAAGAATGAAGTCCAGTCGCCATGACTCAACATCCAGATAACCACATCTGGATAACTGAGAATGTTCACAGATATAGGCCTTTTTGAATGATTAATATTTCAGCCCCTGTAGCCTGGATTCTTTCCAAATAAAAAAAGTGGGTGGGACCAACCATTCTCTTTCAACTGTGTCAAATCTGCTGCTGATCTGAAGCTCAATTTAAAAGTTGTAATTTCTTGTTTGGGCTACTCCCATTTTTAGAATTGCCGTATATAATGTTAATTTACTGTGCCAGGACAGGATTCATTGCTGCACTCATATGCAGCAATAAGTTAAAGCTCACCTTTCCTCCAAGGGGCCTGAGTGTTTTTCAGTTTTCCACATTCTCATTTTATCTTTACAACAATCCTACAAGGCAGAGAGAGCCTTCCTGCACCAACTAATAAGTTTTATTAGGCATAAGCTTTTGGTAGACTGTCAGGCTGAGGCAGCCATTGGCCCAATGTTACCCGGTAAGTTTCATGCTGTGAAGATATTGTATGTGCCTGGCCTTTCTGACCCTCGTCTGGTATACTAACCGTTACAGCATGCTGATTCTTTATCACTAGTTTTCCTACTTTAAGAAAAAGTGGTTTGAATACTAACTGTTTGCAGATGGGAAGCATTCAGAAGAATCTTAGGAATCCCAAAATCTAAATGGGCACATTTCAAAATAGTTTTGGAACAGTATAAAGCTGATGGGAAACTTTCCTCCACCTTGCTTCCAATCTAAAGCATAACTAGTGCCAAGCCCTGAAAATGAAATATGAAGTCTAAGTACAGAACTTCAATATCTTTCTTGAATATTCTGGATGGGGCAAAATAATCATCCAAATATATCATAATAGATGACATGCTTTCT